AGGGGAGCTCGTTACTTAAAAGGATCCAGCAGTGAAACCTTTTGCAAATCACCCACTAATTTACTTGAATTTCATGGCAGGATCTCAGTACTGAGTTCCCAAGCACAGACTCTGGCATGAGTTCACTTTTACATGAGTAAAAGCATGAGTCCATCCATACACCCACTTAAAAAGTACGCACCAAATATGCACAAAATGTGACACACTAGCACACAGCAGGAAAAACAAGGAATTAATAGATTAGAATCTCTGTCTTAAAGGATTCTACATTTACCTGGGGAAATGAGGCATAGTTCTACATACACCCACACACACTACAAAACAAGATGTTTATATGACTAGTGTAGTAAGGTGAGAAATAATTAAGAACCAAATGGATAATACACATTCCACTCCAGTGCAGAGGGCCAGAATGATACCTGGTGCTGACATACATTACCTGTAATTCTCAAAGCTGCACTGCAAGGTAAACCCTTTAATCTCCATTTTATTCTTGAGCAAATCATCAAACCCCAGGACAATGAGAAAGAATCTTGAATACTCAACTTGCAATTTCCTGGCCATTGCAGGAATACCTCTTTGAATAATCAGCTAGACCTTTACATGGTGCACTACAAGACACTCTTTGCAGGGAATTTTGGTCCTCTTACAACCAAGTTTTGGATTTCACTTAAACTGGTTCATAGAAATTTGTCCACCTTAAACTGGTTCATAGAATTTTTCTAATATAAAAGAAGCATGAGACACAAATATTAAAATGCAAAAAAAACAAGCAAGGTGAGTAAGACTGAGGTGGGAGGCGAAATCACAATCTGTTTTTCTACAAGTCACCGAAAGGGAGAAAACAGATAGCTCTTCAAAATGTCTCAAATTTCCACCTGAATTTATTCCAAATTTGTCTCTCATTTCCCTTTCCAGCAAGGACAACCTACCTAGCATGTGCTCTTTTATTACAAAAGAACTGAGAAAACTCCAAAATTCATGAGCTGTCATCACCTTAAGCAACACAAAAAATATATATATCTGTATCTTGTGGACTAAAACTAACAGAGCAGAACTTGTTTTAATATTTTCAGTGAGATAGTCTTAACTTTTTTAGTGTAACCCTGTGCCAAGTCCATAACAGGTTCCCCCTCACCTTGGTATAAGGAAATTAATCCAAAGATTTAAATCAATGTTGAAATTATATCGGCATTATTAACAATGAACAATAATAATATCTGGTAATTTCCTCTCTCTTCTGCATAATATTTTATGTTGATCTCCAATTTTACAGTGGACAATAATACAAACCAGAGAGAGAATCAATTTTCAGATGACCACAATGGGACACATCGCCAGCCTCTTTAGTAAACAATCTTCTGAGACAACACTTTGGGTGTTCACAATGGCATTGTTTGTTAAGGCCACAAGTCAATTTTTTTTTTTTAACTACAAATATAAACAAGATGTATGCACTGTGTTAAGTAGCGCAGTGAAAATGAAATAATGAATCTAGCCCTGAGGTGAAAAGTCAAACTAATATTAATGAACTACTGTTAGAATAATGCCCTAGAAACAACTATCCTCAGCTCACTGGTTGCTAATGGAATACCTAGTGAGGAGCTTCAGGGACCAGATCCACACAAAGGCCCCCAAGGAGGAGGCCCCAGGAACCCAGGGGGCCCTGTAGCCACCAACAGCCACTCATCTGCTTGGTCCATTCCTGCAGCACACCTCTCCCCCTCATCGGAGTTCCAAAGTCATTGTGAATACTAACTAGAATGCCTGTTGATAATAGTCCAGTTCTTGGAAATGTAAGGGGCGCTTCAATTTCCCCCACCAATAAACTAATAAATAAAAAAATCTTCAAAATCTCTAACATCTGCTTAAATACCCAGGTTGTAATAACATGAACATAAGTTGGTAAAACTTTCTGAAAAGGGCCAGAATATTCGAGGTTGTGGTTATACACTCTCTGTAACAACTTAATTCTAGCAGGAAAGCAGCCATATTCATACCCAAAGGAATAGGAATTGCTATTCCTATGTGTGTGTTCCAATAAAATTTTATTCACAAAAACTGGCAGTGTGTGGTAGTTTGTCAACCCCTGAACTTGAGGACTGTTTACTTAACCCCCATTACCAAATAGTGAATTCTTGTGAATCATGATAGATTTTTAGCTTACTTAGCTCTTAGTAACACCTAGTGATCAGCAACTAGGACAGCCAGCCATGGCTGTTCTACAAGCAATCTAGTAACTTCATCAAGAGCAGCAAAAGTAATAATGGTATTAAGAACAGCAAGAAATAATATTAAGCAATTTATGTTGTTAAATTTTCACTCATAACATCTCATTTAATTTCCTTAAAAACTCTAAGAAGGAAATGCTATTACCCCATTTCAAAGATGAGGAAAAGATGCTCCAAGCAATCAAATGTCCTCTGAACATTATGAAAATATTAAAAGATAAAACCTAAATTTGAGCTATGATATAGCTGATCTGACTTTAAAATTCATATTCTCATATATCACACTGCAAAGTACAATGACATTTTCTTAGGAAGAATGAAGACAGATCTGTATATTAGAGACATGAGATACAAATCTGGGCCATAAACCAACTGTACGGAAATGGCTCACTTCACCTTTGCTAAATTTAAATTATTTCCTTATTCCAACAGTCTCTCTTTTGGGAGTCACAGTTTGCAAGCACATGTATACCAAAAGCTATATATCTACAGCCAGTCCAGTATCAAGTTTGCTGTGGCTCTAAGACACTGATCTTATGTCCAAAGTAACAAATCTTCTTGCCCTTTCTTTGTCTGTTGGCCAAATGCTAAGAAGCATCTCTAATGGATCCCAGGTCTCCTTGAGATGAAATCCAGGTAATTTACCACTATGGCATGAAGTAAGTACTGAAGAACAGCAAGGACTGAAAACCTACCAACTGCTGTACACTACCAGCTTATATGTCTCATTCTCTCCTTTTTGAACTTTTATGTTCTCTAATATATATAGTATGTGACTTCCCTGGTTTATGAAAACTAATCTGTATCCTTTTGAGGAAATTCTACTCTGATACTGATTCCAGAAAATAAAACATACACCAGGGATTGACAAATGAAAGAGCCTGTGGACAGTATCCAATTAGCTATCTATTTTGGCACAAATTGAATGAAGAATGACTTCTACATACTTTTTTAATGGTTGGAAGGTAAGAATCAAAAGAAGTGTGATTTTTCCTGACAAATGAAAATTATTTAAAATTCAGATTTCAGTATTCATAAATTGTTATCAGAACATATCCACTGGGTCTAGTATTTACTAGGGCTGATTTGGGTACCACAATGGTAGAATTGATGGGTTATAACAGAGACCATATGCCCTGCAAAGCATAAAATACATTCCAGCTGAATCTTTACAGAAAAGGAAGCCAATCTCTGAAGTTGAACTATTCGCCCCTCCATTGATAGAGGCAATGCCCAAATCCAGATACAACACATTCCAGAAATATAAAACAGACATTCATTATGTCCACAGTGTTAAGAATATCAACAATTACTCCATCCCAAAGATTGCACCACATATGTCCATTCTTAGCTGAGTAAAAAAGTATTAGGCCTCTCTTTCTTGCCTCCACTGTCATTTGCAATTAGAGATGCTGATGGGGTATAACTTCCAATTTCCTGACTAACTGCATTATTATTCTAAATTGATGAACTGTAAATAGCAGGCCACTTTATGCCTCTTCCTAACTGATATGGGAGCCAGAGTACAAAATGATAAATTTTCTTTGGTTTCTTGGCAAGAAGCTATATATATGTAATTTTGGCCTTCATCTCCGATTTCCTCCATTTATCAGAAATAGTGACAAAAAGGCTCTAATTAGATAATTCTAATCACAAGGAACTGGGTGTGATGGAAGACTTCAGAATCACTATCTGCTCCTTGCAAAACAAAACAGATAGGCTATTCTCCCTGTAGGGGCAGGAGATTTATCAATAGACAAAAGGATGAAAAAAGCCAATAGATAAGGTGTAATTAAAGATCAAGCCTATAAATTTTCTACTGACATGAATTTAACAGGATATGCAGGTGGAAATTCAGGATTTAAAACCAGAGCATTATGAAAATAATATCTTTAGTCCTGTATGCAACAACATTGCATAATACAAAGATTTATTATTAAGACTAATACTCTGTGCCTCCAAGCCCTTTCATATAAAGAATTTGAATTATTCAGTGCCAAAGTAATTTCCAAAGTGGTCTGTCTTCTCAGGCATTCCTCTTTAATTAGCAACAATACATTTTCCATATATTTTTGAACATCAAAATACATTTTAGAATAATCCATCTGTCATATTTTTGTGAGTTGCTGAAAGCATGATCCAGAAAGGTCTGTATATTCTTGTAATTCGTCATCATTCCCTCCCTCGACCCTTAAAATGTAAAAAAAGTATTTCCCAAGCACTATTCAACATACTCATAATAATGATCTCTCTCTTCAGCTGGCTCAAAGGCCAAAAGCACAAATAACAATGGGAAAGACCACAAAATATCATGGAGAAGACGGCTGAAATATATCCAACTAACAAGGTTTGATTTCAAAATAAAGTTGCAGTTCTTAGACTGATGTGTAATAGATCATCTTGATATGTACTGCTTTGTAATATTGAGCAGACATTCAGCATTTCAAGTCTGGCCTTATATTTTCTGTTCTCCAGAATCATAGCCCTGAAAAGACAGCAAAGGCTGTGTCTTTGGAAAATTACAAGTTTGGTACAATAACTCATTAACAAGGGAAGTTCAGAAATAAATGCAAATTGAGAGGGAAAAACAGGTTGACAAACAAGGGAAAAATAAAAGTAAGGTACTTACAACCTTTCAACTTTTGGTGAACTACAAAAGGTTTGAGCTAACAGAAGTCAGGTGTTGAAGTGATTAGAAGTGGACTTGTGAGTGACTTTAATGTTAACTGGCCTGTGGAGAGCGAGCCTGTTCTGCACAAGTCAACTTACCAGAGTAGGCCCAGTAAGGGTCGCCTGAGGCTTTGCGCCTGCGGATCTGCGCCGAGCTGCTGTGTCTGTTATCGTGCAGGGACCCCACGTAGCCTTCAGTCAACACTAGAACAAAGGAGAGCCCCAATGAGACAAAGGCATCACCACAAAACACAAATTGCCAAATGCACACAGCCTAGAAGCACAGACCAAGGGGATAACTAAACAGAACCCCCTGATTTACAAAAAACTACAGAGGAATGTAGAAAGTGTAACATGTTCATGAATATTCATAAATAGCTTACAAGGAGCCTCAACTTTATGCCAAGAACATTGTACAGTAAACAATGTACACATATATCTAATTTAATCTGCAAAATCCCATAATGCCATAGATACAATAATCCTAATAATGGGACCATTTTATAGAAAAGCAAACTGAAGTTAAGCCACTCTAACTTCCACAATGACAACCAACCAGTAGACCTATGATTAAAAGCCTATGTCCTCTTGTGCAAAGGGCCTCCAAGCCTTTCGATCTTCAAGGAGCAAAGTATCGTTTCTTTCTCTTTTATAGCTGAAAAAATTAAGGGTCAGAGACACTAACTGCTCCCAGTCATAAAGGTAAGCATGCAGCAGAGCCAAACAGCACAGTCTCATTTCTGGGAGCCTGTCTGAGATGAGTTCCAGCTGACCACACCCTTTGGACCGCAAAGAGTTACCTGTTGTACTTGAGGGTATAAAAGTTGAAACCAGCCAAGGACAACATTGCTCAGAAAGAAACTGCTTCATGATGGTTTGTTTAGTTATTCTTTTTCAAACTCGAAATGAATCCAACTTCTACTCTGTTCTAGAGATGTTCCATCTGCTTACTCTAGTGTTCAAAGCCCTCCCTGCCTAGCTTTCATGATGGAAATTTCTTTTGTTGTGAACCCACACCTGAAAGCACTGATGTGTAAGGAGACAAATATCACAGGTGCCCAGAATCCAAAATGAAATGGAATTACACTTCCAACAGTACATACCAGCTGTCTGGGTTAATATTTAAAAACACCCAAACAAAATCAAATATGCTTTTAAAGAAACAAACAAAAAAAATGGTTATGGAAAATGTATACTCAATTTAAGATTAAGATGGCACCAGAAAAACACAATTGTCTTCTAAATACAAAACCGTCCCATTCCTAACTAGTTAAAGTAACAATAATAATAATCTCACCATGATGGCATTAGCTTTGTTGACAACTGACAGTTGTGAATAAAAATAAGGAAACATGTAATTTGTGCTATATGTCAACTGTAATGACAGGCTTTAAGAGAAGTAATGCTTGAACAAAGAACAAAGATATTCCCAACAGATGAACTCTTTAGTGAGAAATGGGAATGTGATAAAATCCAAACACATAATTAAAATGTAAGACTGAGGGGTCACTGCATCTGCTCACTGGTCCAGAATGAGCATTTTTAAAATATGACGAAAAGAGTCAATGTTCATCATCAAATCTATCCATTCTACAATGTTGTAGATGAGCCATTCAAAGACCCAGGAACTCACCAGTATCAGCTACTTGAAATCAAAAATAAAACATCCCATTTTCTAGTCTCCTAATCTATTTTCTCCCTACACAAAAGAGCACTAAATAAACAAATTTTTGGCTTGTTTGTTTTGTATCCATATGGGAAAGATTTTTATGTGGCTGCTTTCTGTTTCTAAGAGCTAGTTCACCCTAAATATTCCCAAATAATCCTTTTGTACTAAGTCATTGCATTAGACAGCGAGTGTCTTGAGAAAAGGAGTAGTATATGGGGCTTCCAAGAGGATGTGTGATTGAGTCTCACTTCCCTTCTCTGTAATGAAACTATTAATTCCCAGCCTCAGGATTGTTATGAAGACACCACCAATTACAATGAGCCGAGCATCTAACTCAGCGCTGGGCATGTAGTGCTTCTGAAAGGTCTGTTTGATAGTGGAGACTCTTGGAGAGACTATGCTTCTGTCACTGTCATTCCCTGTTCTACTAAGCTCCCGTCATAGGCTGAACAGCCATGTCTACCATGCCCACCCCACCAGCTCCGAGGAAGGCACTTGGCTAGGCTGAAGTCAGTCAGTCACTATAAACCATGCCTCTGGTCCCAGTGATGTGTTTGGGAAAGGAGACGTCAATCAGAGATAATAAGCAAACATACTTCAAGCGACACTAATGGTGACCTTAATAACCTTCAAATGAGTAGCTTCAACCCCTGATCATGAATTTCTCCCTCAGTCAAAGACATTGGTGAACTAAAACTCAGACTTGTAACCCTGTCAGTTTTAAGGTAAAAACAAACAATTGAGATTCTCCATGCCCTGGGCTCTACCCTTTGAGATTTAGATTTAATTGGTCAGGGGTATCTGAGGCCTAGATGTTAGTATTTTTATTTTAGTTCCCCCCAGTGATTCCATTTTGAAGTTAGAGATAAGAACCATAAACCTCCCTGCTGAGCTGAATCTGAGGTCCCATTCAACTCTGACATTCTCTCAAATCTCACCTCACAGCCTGCAACTTGACAGGCAAATCTTAACACTAGGAAAGAGCAGGTTGGGCAGAAGATAACAGCCTGCTGCAGAAATCACACCAATGTGGTGTCAACCTCAGAATTTAGACAGTTAGAAATGAGCCAGAGTTAACACCAGAAAGCTCACAAATAAATGAACCAGGGATAAAAATAAAGAATGAATGGGTTATCGTTGCAGAAAGTAATTCTCATACCCTCTACAGGGGATTTAGAATTGGAATATCCACTAGCCACTCTCTTCCCCGCCTCTTTTTTTTTTTTTTTTTTTTTTTCCTGAGAAGGATGAGCCTTTTATTTCCCAGAACTTTTGAGGTCACCAGCATGGGGGAAAAAAGTGAAAAGAGCCTGTCAGCTGCTTATCTGTAAGTGGCTTCCGTGCTGGCAGCTATATTACCCATCCTGCTAGGAAGTGGTCAACTCCAAGTACTCAGAAGTAGACCACAATCACATTAGTCTAGAACTAGAATGCACAGAGGCCGTTTTTTGGAATCCCATTCTGCTGGCTCCCCAAGTTCCCTAAAGTCTTGGTGAGAAAACAAGTCAACAAAAAAGATTATCCAATTCAAGAAACAAAAAGGTACATAGCAAAGGGTCCTTCCCGGACCTTGCCTTGTAATGGAATCTCTACCCCAAAGAGTCTCTCTCAGCCATCCATATAAGGGATCTGGGCTAAGCAGTGTAACTCCCTGAATAAAAGTGAGAAATGGGGTTTAATACAAACAGACCAACTGACAAGACAGAAGACTGGGGAAGGGGGCCTGGTAGGGCCACCCTCTGAAGATGGGTTAACCCTGTCTTCACCACACTTCCCAAAGTATTATGGTACATTGTGGATAGCACACAGTAAGCAGGACTGAGCAGGAAAACTATTTCTAAAGGACCTGTTACACATTTCTGAAGGGCTCTAAGCTCCCTGTACATGGGCTCTCAACCTAATGCCCATGATGGAGTTTGGCAAATGTTATGTATCCATCCATAGCAACTTAATGAACATATGAATGGGTGAATATGCAAAGAACAGAAAAAGTACCAGCAGCCAAATGTAGACATGTGTGTGTGCGTGCACACACACGCGTGTGTTTATAAAGGCTACTGACAAAAAGACAACCTTCCCTCCGTGATCTGTTTTCTAATCACTGCCCACCTACCAGAACAGTCAACATCTAAACAAGAAGCTGAAAGTAATAATCCTGAGAACCTAATACGTAATTCTTTTGGGAAACAACTCAGGAATGCGCAGGGTAGTAAAGGAATTTGTCACCTGGCACCAGATTTCTTTTTATGATAAAAGATATTCATTAAAGATGACTATCTATAATTTACCCTTTTAATCCATCTATCATTGTGTGATTTCTTTTCTCTCCTGAACAAAAACATCATCACATACTACTGGCACTTGTATAATTTTAAATAAAACTCAATTCTAAATCTCCTCCTCAAATGCATTTTAACCATATGACAAGGTGTTTTTAAAAAGCAAGCTTTAAAAAAAATTATTTGCACAGCCAAAAGAGAGGAGTATACTAAACAACTTAACATGTTATTGACAAGTAGCGGAGATTGGCAAACTGAAAAAAAATCTGTGGTTCCCAGGTAAAGATACAGACTCAGCACCCACCAAATTCAATTAATTCTAATACTCTTTGTACTCTTCTAAACTTGAACAGTCAACCAACAGCAGCATGGCAATGATATGGTAAGGCTATGAATCATGGTATTGATTTTCAATATCTTCTTTGCAGAAAATTAAATTATGCAAATGAGTGCCTTTACAGAGCCTTACCTTAATGTGAGATTGCATACTTGCTATGTCAGCAACTTAATTATACAATTAAAAATGGAGCATGCTTATAAATATATGTAGTTTCACTGTTCAAAATAGACAGTAATAGTCATTCCATGTATGGTTATTCTTTGACTAACAAGAAGGAGGTGCTGGTGTTATGCAAATGAATTCTACCAACTTCTATAGCACCAAACCTGGTATGTTTTATGAAGCTGAAGTCATCTGTCAGCAGAAAGCTCAGGAGGACTTTTAGTGACATTATATAATGCTAGAAGGAACTGGAACAGCAGTGATATAGCAAGTATAAAAGATATAAAGGATGCCTAAGAGTTAAATTTCTGCACTGCTCAAAAAGATGGTTCCCAGTTCAAGTTTAAACAACACTCACATACAATCACACACAAGCACACATACATGTCAGGATAACAAACGTGGGCATGAGGTTTATCAAACCTGGACAGACCCAAAAGCCCAATCCTTTCCTATAAAAATACCCTAAGAGTTACCTTCACAGAAGGTATCAGTGAAACTTGTTCCTATGTGCAATATTTTTACCCTGGAAATATAAAAGTAGATGTGTATCCCATCTGCCTTAAATCTTCATTTCTGCAGGATCCCAAATTAACTCTTCTGTATTAATATCCAGGCTGAACATATCTCATACAAAGTAACCAGCTCCTCTAGATGGTACATTTAGTAACATTCTTTACATAGATGTCTTTTAAATATTACTATAATAGAAAAGGAAGAGTCATTGGTAGAAAGTATTTTTCTTCCAAAATTG